ACAATAAGTCAAATAATTTTATATGGCCAAGGGAGACGGTTGTTTTCCATCCCCTTAACTTACCTTTAATCGTGTGTAAAAAGCTACGTCTAGAATGGAAGCATTCACAATTTTCAATTCTGCTGGATTTTTTCATAATCAGACGTTATGCGACTGGTTCGCCTTCAAGTCCAACTCAAATATGACGTTTTTGGGGCCTTAAGTTATGAGACAGTTGTGTTAAACTAAAGTATCCACAATACTCTTGGAAGTTTTGTTCACTCCAATCCATTCTGTCTGGTGGCAAAATTTAATTGAACACGATTTGAAGGGTATAGGCTTGAACGATCATACAGCGCTCTGTGTTACACATGCTCATTTGATATAGCCTAATCTGGCTGACACATGTCTATCTCCTCCTCAAGTTTATACCCCTACGTCTATGTTTTATGATTACCACGTCATTGAGTGTTGATCCACGTTTTACTGCGATAATATTTCGTGTGAATCTCCATGGTACTGTTAGTATTAACAAAAGTGATAACACTGTTATGCCTCATAGCAACGATAAAATGACACAAACTTATACTGATAAAGCAAAACGTCCCATCACTAGCGCCATTCTCGGGGTCAACGAGAGTAATTACACCATCACTTTAAAGCCCCATGACTCCCCAATTTGGTGGACTAAGCATTTTTACCCAATTCCATAAACCAATTTGAGCTCTCGGCATCTGGTTTTGGCAGGTGGGAAAAAACAATGAGCAGAAGCCTTAGCTAATGTTTTGTACTCATTTTTAGCTACTATGTTTAAGATTTTCCCCACCTACTCCCTTTTTACCATTTTTGGCCTTGACAAAGCATTAACTAGGCACAATTAAAGCAAGCTAAGACTTTTATTACTTTCACATTAATTCTAGTCTAAAAATTGTAGTTAAACGTTAAACTATTTAGTGCGAAAAAAAACAATCCTTGCCTCATAACCTTTTTGGTCAAGTGTCTCATTTGAGGCAAAGTCTAAGTAGATTGAAATTTCTCTGTTTTATAGCAGGACATGACGATTTTCCTTTCACAATCCTGCCAAAAACGACCTTGGAAACACTTGCTCTCGTCATGAAGAACGCGCATGCGATTATCTTATCAACTGATCAACTGTGCGGATTTATCCAACACACACGGTGAGTAGACGTGCACATAACTAGCTACAGTCGGAATGAAAAAAAAACGATGTAATGGTAGAAACTGGATGGCATTGCTGTGGTGCGGGTGATTAAAATAAGTTAATGAATTGCAAGGATTGTGCTTGTATTTGGTTACATCGGTACCACCGCTTTTCTGCGGCCCAGTGATTAAAGTGCAGGGGTTCACATACACATACACACACGACCACCGCCATCTGTGTAGCCACCACCGAAAATTGTGTGCTGAACGTGACCATATTTTGTCAGGTTCTTGAGGCTGCTATTAAAATTCGTAACTATAAACTCGCCCTTGATGCATGAGTAATGCGCCTCAGTGGTCAGCCGTCATTCGAGTGGCCATGAAAGCATGCCTGCTCTCGCCACGTCGAGTAGGTTAACTTCTCTATTTAAGCAATTTAAAACTACAGGAAATAAAAAAGACTAGCTTAAAACCTTACTATTGAGCTATATGTTTCATTCAATTTCAAATCGGTTTTGTCAACCTAATTTCGGTCCAGTTTGGTAAATCTGTACCTTTTGTAAATTGCATTAGTTGAGAATTCGAATTTCAATGCTATGGATACGATGGCTTTCTGCCACAGACAAGGACGTATGTACTTAGGCCTCGCCTTAAGTGATAAATTCTGTCACAACGCCTACATTTAGATTACAGACTTGGCATTGAATCGATGAGGTTGTGTGTGTGTGTG